GTGTGTGTGTGTGTGTGTGTGAGAGAGAGAGAGAGAGAGAGAGAGAGAGAGAGAGAGAGAGAGAGAGAGAGAGAGAAGGGGGGTCAGCAATAGCTAGTGATCTTGTTTCATAGATAAATAACACAAATGAGGAGATTGTCTAGACCTTTCTGACCCATGGCATTGGTGTTTGCAAATGTGTGCAGCTACTGTGTTTTATTGTAGTGCTACTGTGTTGTGCATGGCTGTCCACTTAGTCTTCTTCCATGACTGAATCTCAGAACCAAAGCTCTCTGCCATGTTTTCTCAGTAGAAGAGGCCCTCTGTCCCCATCTCTTACACTATGGCTCCCCTGCAGAAGAGGTGTAGGGGAACGGTGCCAGAACAGAGGTTATCCTAGTGAGATGAGTGATTTTCATAGGCTGCTGCCCTTGACCCCTTCAGAAGAAAATGCCATCTGTTTTGCCTTCAGTTGTCTGATGAGAAAAATGTCCACCATTTAGTTAAGGTGAAGGCGGTTCGAGGAAGGGGAGGCCCTGTTGACTCAGGGCTATAGAATGAGCACATACTCTAGGCTGAAAGTTCTCAGTTATCTTTGGATATCAAACAGTAAGTTTCATACACTGTAAAAACGGCCTCTCTGGTCAGCAAAAGCTGCTGTTGTTTGAAAGATGTAGCAGTGTTTATGAGCAGGTGATGTTCAAGATGTTTCCAGAGGTGTTCAGGTCCAGATTAAACTTGAGCTCTCAATAAAAAACATGTTTCTGCCCTAAAAGATACTTATGCTCACTGATAAAGTCCAAAGGTAAAATCCAGGGTGGAGTCCAGGAGATGGATCAGCAGATGCAGGTACTCGCCACTAAGCCTGATGACCAGAATTCCATCCCCAGAACCCACACGGTGGTAGGAGACAACTTGCTATTGAAAGTTGTCCTTGTACCTCCACACATACGCTGTGGTATGTGTGCACCCCACCATGCACATACACATGATAAATAAGTGTTGTTGTTGTTGTTTTAATTCTTTAAGTCAAGTCTGGCCAAGATATCAGGATTGGAACTTTGAAGCACCAGCCCGTGCCACATAGTGAGACCCCTTTTCAAAAAGGCTTACTTATCGGTGTTACAGATCAAATCTATTCTGTCATTGAACTTATGCCTCTCCCTCCCAACGAAGTTAATTTTAAACAACTGATCTAAAAATAATGTCCCCTGGATAAATACTAGGCTCCAGTATAAGCTTTCTGTTTGTTTAATAAATGAGTTAAGTTAAATATGAAAGTATCTGTCCCAGTTTCCAGTCTCTGCCCACATGAGTATTAGAAATAGCAGTTTGGCCATGGCTTGCTTTGTGTAGAACAGTGCATGCTGGTGTCCAGAGGTTGAGAGGCAGCAGTTTTTCTGGAGGTTCAGGCCAAACCTACCTGGCACTTCTGCCTCAGTGAGGAAGAACTTGAGACCAGGCATCCAGTGCGGGATCACCTGCGCTGCACTCTCCCTCACCTAATAACCAAAAATACTAGTGGGACTACCTGTCCTGCATGCTCTCTCACCTAATAATAAAAATACCTTAATTTTCAAGTTTGGGTGGAACATACAGAGAGGAGTTTTAGAAGCTGATGCTCTTGCTTTATTCAAGTGACAGTGACACAAATCTGACATAGTAGTGTCCTTAGTTATTAAAGAACTATCCAATTAAGGCATAATTTTAATTTCACCAACTTATTTAGAAGTTGTTAGTGTACACTCATTGTATAAAACAGTGGGTTTCGTCGTGACGTCGTGACGTGTTTGTGTATTAGCATACTCACACTCTTTTTACCTAGCCTCTTTAAGACCTCTAACATCTCACCTTATTATTTCTTACAAAGATTACAGAACAGGTTGGGAAAGGCACAAAACTCAAAAAATGACAGAAATAGAAATTTGTTAGGCTAGTGTTCTTAGTTTCATCAAAAGCATAACCGATGAATTCTGTCTTCCAAGTATTAAAGGGTGTCTCTATGAAAGCTACAGTAGCAGCTAGCCATGTAGCTAGAGGTACAGCACTTGCTTGGCATCTGGAGGCTCTGATTTTTCCCTCCACATGGGATGGAGAAGGTAGAGGTCCCCTGGATGCTTTCAGTTCTTCCTAAAGAACATTCGGGACACACTCCGCCATAGCACGTCTATCTTGCATTAGCCATTCTCCCCCAGAATGAGCTCTTTCAGCATTATCTGCAAGCTCCTGGTTCCTTCACTGTCAGTAAATTCATCAAGAAACACAATCCAAGCCACTTTGTACTTTAAAAACTAGAAAAATTGGTTGACTATTGTAAAAGAAAAAACAACAAAGAAATGAAATTAGTACTTAGCTATGTAGCTGAAATATTGCTTTAACAGGCACTTAATATTAGGCTACTTTGCATGCCTTCCCCTCCCCGATGTCTTCTGACTCCCCGCATGCTGTATTCATAGCATATCTCAGCTTGGACTTGTCATTTTAGCGCTCAGTTGCTGTTACAGTGTAAGCATGGCATAGCTAAAGGGGCAACTGGAGGTGAGCTTCAGTAGTAGCAAAGCAGACGTCTGCACTTTGAGTACAAAGGCGACGAGCCCTAAGGGGGAAGTAAGCCTGGAAGGGAGCTAAATTTTGAGTTTAGGAGATTTAGGAGTCTGGGTCTCAAACAAGAAGTATGGTAGAAGCTTGCTATAGTGGCTCAGGTAAGGAGAGACAAGAATCTGAACGCAGACCAAAGGAAAGATATATGGGTCACTTAGTCAGAAAATCTTACAGTTTGGTGGCAATCTGATTTGAAGAGAGGAACTGGAGTAAGTTAAGATGGTTATTCGGTTTTTACTGCTGTTGGTGAGCAAATAGTACTGTTAACCAAAATGTAGGCAGGCAAATTAAAGAGTAGGTGAATTTGGTTAGCATGAGCTGCGTTGACTTTGAAGTAGGCAAATGGGTTATGTTTGGTTTAACAAGACTGGGTCTAACCCATGAGAAACCCAAGTTGCCAATGTCACTGTTAAGCAATAGCAAGAAATTACAAAGCCTAAGAGGGCACTGTGGAGGGGAGAGATCATATTAGCATACACAGTCCACACTGTGAACATAGCCTCCCTACCGAGCTGGATGGGATTAAGACTGAGATCAAAGCTGGCCTAATGTGGTTTGCAGCCATGTTCTGTGTGGCTTGTGGGGCATTGGATCACATGTGTTCTAAATTCAAGTTAGGTGCCAACATTTCTACATGAGATACAGACTTCATATTTCTTCTAAATTTTAATTTTTTAAAAAAGGCTGGGAGGGAGGATCAACAACATGGGCAGTAACGGTCCTCTGGAATGTATGCCCTTTCTCTACGCGAGTCTGCCTCTCTTTCTACAGGCTCATTAGACATTTGAATTTTCTACATCAGAGCCGAGGATCAGCAGTTAATAAACATAAAAAGATAGATTAGTAACAGATTATGGAGAGCTTTAACTACCAGACAGAGTATAAAGAGCAGTGACAAGCACCTTTTGAAGACAGGATTGGTGAGGCTAAAGTCCTATTTAGGACAATTATTCTGAAGGAGCGTGAAAACAGAAGTTAGGAAAATTACCACTTTTAATTAGAAATTTTAATTATTTACTGTTATATGTATGGGTATTTTGCCTGCATGTATGTCTGCGCACTATATGCATGCCTACAGAGGTAAGAAGAGGGTGATCACATGGGACTGGAGTTAGACTCAGCTGTGAGCTGTCACATTGGTGCTGGAAATCAAACCCAAGTGTCCAGAGCTGGCAGTGTTCTTAACTGCTATGCCATCCCTCCAGCCCCAGTTACCAATTTTTAATGAAAAGAGATGAGATGTAAAAATACACAACTGGGTTTTTAAAAATGGAAAGCAGAAAAAAGAAAGTTAAATGGAAGTGTCTTAAGGAGGGATCTGCCATCCAAAGCCATCCCCACTACCACACTAGTTATTTGGGGTACTGAGCTTGGTGGAAAACCTGCTTGCAGTTTCCTAAAACTCTACTGCATGCTAGGGCCATTATGGGAAAGTCAGAGAAGCTATGCTTGCTGGCTGTGTGTCAGAGGTCAGTGTGGACTGTTGTCACTAGACTTTAAGTGGAGGCAAAGACCCTTTATTCCTCCCACCCCTGACTTCAACACCACCAGCGTTCAAAAGGTTCCTTGTAAAAAGGATGGCTAACAATAGTATCTGATCATTCTTTCCTAAGGGCTTCACAGGTTTGGCAGGGGCTTTAGTAGGCCCTCACTCTTAAGTTCTCTACATAGACATTTTACTTAATCCTTACAACCACCCTTGAGATAGATACTGTTACTGTTTCCATTTTATAGATAAACTGAGATCCTAAAAAATAGTTCAGCCACAGGGTTGATAGGTTAGAAACAATACTTGGATCTGCAGGTCTAAGAGATTTGACCACTGTAAACTGTTTGTGTATGTGCATCTGTTGGCATGCCACACAGGAACCTTACACTTTCATTCAGGAAGCTCTGGGTAGAACATATTTCAAGGGTATCACTTTTGTTCTGGTCCCCCAGAAGATAAACCTCCAAAGATGACCTTTAGTCATCTTCCAGGGACAGGGGTACCCCAGGTCTCTGTTCTTCTTTGATGAATGGCTCATTGTTAATACGATCTGTTTACTGAAAAGATAATTATAGGAACAATTTTTTTTTTAATTTGGTTTTCTGAGACAAGGTCTTGCTGCACGATCCAGGCTTCCCTGAAATGCACTATGTAGCCCAGGCGGTCCTTGCATTCTCAACCCTGCTCTAGTTCTTCGGGGGCTGGGATTGCCGGGGTGTGCCACCACCACCCAGGAAACTCGTTCCGTTTCTTAAATGTTCGCCTAGAAAATAATTTCAGGAGGAGGTTTTTAATCTTTTAATTTTAATCTTGAAGGGGGATTGGAGTAGCAGTGTAGAGAAAAAACACATTTGATGTTTAATGGTGCCTGTCTCAAGCCTTGTGAGGATTCCCTGCCATTCAGTGTGGTTTCCTTTTTCTTGACCTGCAGATGAACCATGCAAAGGAAAAATTTCAAGATGACAAGAACAATGAGGTGCTTTTCATGTGCATTGGCATCACTTCTGGAGTTGGGCGCCTTCTCTTTGGCCGCATTGCAGACTACGTTCCCGGAATGAAGAAGGTTTACCTGCAGGTACTCTCACTCTCTTTACCCTGTGAATGGAGGCTTAGCTGCAGGTACTCTCACTCTCTTTACCCTGTGAATGGAGGCTTAGCTGCAGGTACTCTCACTCTCTTTACCCTGTGGATGGAGGCTCACCTGCAGGTGCTCTCACTCTCTTTACCCTGTAGATGGAGGCTCACCTGTAGGTGCTCTCACACTCTTCCCTGTGGATGGAGGCTCACCTGCAGGTGCTCTCACACTCTTCCCCTGTGGATGGAGGCTCACCTGCAGGTGCTCTCACTCTCTTTCCCTGTGGATGGAGGCTCACCTGCAGGTGCCCTCACACTCTTCCCCTGTGGATGGAGGCTCACCTGCAGGTGCTCTCACACTCTTCCCCTGTGGATGGAGGCTCACCTGCAGGTGCTCTCACACTCTTCCCTGTGGATGGAGGCTCACCTGCAGGTGCTCTCACTCTCTTTCCCTGTGGATGGAGGCTCACCTGCAGGTGCACACATTCACATTTCCCCTGTAGATGGAGGCTCACCTGCAGGTGCTCTCATACTCTTCCCTGTGGATGGAGGCTCACCTGCAGGTGCTCTCACACTCTTCCCTGTGGATGGAGGCTCACCTGCAGGTGCTCTCACACTCTTCCCCTGTGGATGGAGGTTTACCTGCAGGTGCACACATTCACATTTCCCCTGTAGACGTAGTTCCTTGCTCCTGGTTGTGCACTTGCACTCAATGCTTCTATATGCACATATGCTTTAAAAGTGTGAAATACTTTCTAGAACATAACCTCTGCAGACAGGTTTTTAATACAAAATAATCAATTATGAGGTTGTGTTTTAAATATTAGGAATTGACAGTCAAATAGCAATCTTTTCTGTTTTGTTAGAGAACTCCACCAAACCAGAATGTTTATGCCTGTTGTGTTTTCTCAGACATCTTTATTTTTGGAAGAGTTATCAGTCAAGTGCAGATCTAATGTCGTTTGCACGCTTGTGAAATTTGGGTGTATGTTTCTAACTTTTGAGCTGCTTCATTGCAAATTGTCTGCTAGGTGTTATGGGGCGTGCTTAAACAGACACAAGATTATTATTGACTATCAACAGGCAGTTGAGTGAGTATTTCATGCCAGAACTCTGTAGCTTGCTAGATGCTACAGAATTCAACATAGTGTGTGACTCTCAGATAGTAGCTAAAGGTATTATGGGGACGTGGATGATACCATATTACAGCACGGTGAAATAACAGTTCCTTGGGGGCAAATCAGAATCACTAGTGAGGGTCTAAAGAGTATAAAGAGACAGGAGCTAGTGTCACTTAGTAACAGATAGATTGCCTTACATGAACTAGGTCATGGTTTTTTTTTCCTCACCATTACAAAAAACCTGGTCTTTTTCTATAAATGGGTGGGTAGATGGATGGGTGCAGAGAGACAGATATAAGGAAAAAAGAGAAGAATGTCCTAAGCAAGGAAAACACATGGACCACATGTGTGGGTATATGTATGTCTGGGATGCTGGATGTCTGAATGACATTAAGGAAGAATAGTAGATGATATAGCTGGAGGAAGGCCAGGTTAGGAAGAGACATTTATGGACATAAAAGATGATGAACTCCCACACATAATGGTATATGCCTATGATCCTAGCACCATACAGGCAAGAATATAAACACAAGTTCAAGGCCAGCCTGCTCTACATGGCAGTCCCAACCTAGCTGAGACTACATAGAAACATCCCCTTTCAAAAAACCCAACCAAATGAATGTAAAGATGCAATGGGGTGAGTTTTATTCTCCAGTCTGCCTCAAGCCATTGAAGGTTTTAAACAAGGGACTGACATGAGCAGTGCTTTACAAAGATCAGTCTGGTAACAGAAGGAAAGAAGAGTAAGAATGGGGTAAGAGTTGCGGTAGTTACAGAAGGCCACGTGTTGAATGGTTCCATTGACCTAACATTTTTAGAATAGGACGATCATTAGGAAGATAAATTTGCGGTTGTTGGGGATTGGGGGAAGGTGATGGTTTCTTTCTGGGGGGGGTGTGAAAATGTTCTAAACTGAGAGAAGTGGGGTCTAGTAATACACACGACACAGGTAGTTTTATAGTACTCGTTAGAGACAGTGCTAGGGTGAACTGATGCTGGTTGGAAACTTCTGATGTAGTATAGGCCACGACATGGGGATCAAACAGTAAATCAGAGGCACAGAGAACAGGTGCCGGGTAGGGCCGTTTGTGCCTGAGATCTGGTGCTTGGCTAATGGTGGAGGTGGTTTCATTAGCTTGTGATATCAGTAACTCAGTAAATCCAAGGAAGACAAACTGTTTCTGTCACATTAGTGGTGTCTGTAAAACTTGGAGGTTGTTTGGGTGAAGCATTGTGAAACTTGGACATTCTTGGGCTGAAAGGAAGTGACCAGGTTGGTAGGAAACACCTGGGAATGGAGCGCTTCTGGGCCACCAGTGGCCAGCAGTATGAGGGGCTAGTGAAGTGATTAAAGTGAGGTCATTGATGACACGGATGAATAGATGGGAATGTACCCACTCTGTCCAAAGGACAGATGACTAAATAGGAATGTAGACAGCTCTATCCAAAGGACAGTAGGGGGAAAGATTTGGAGATTAATCATGGGATGCAGTGTGAGCAGTCTCAGGAAAGGGGGAAATTTGGGAAGGAAAACTGTGGGTGTTTGTTAGTGGCTGTAATGACGAGCATCACTTACTGAGCACTTTGATGAGCCAGATGGTGAGCTGGGTGCTATGCATGTACCATCTCCAGGCCTGGTCCCAGCCCTTCAAAGAAGGTATAGTTCTTTGTTTCCTCTTACAGACTGTGTGGTCCAGGCAGACAGTCACAGGCCAGAGCCAGTTACACAGCTAGAAGGAAGTGGAGGCTGCAGCTGGCGAGCCTCTCCTCCTCCCGCCAGTGCTCGGAGCAAATGCGAGACCCTTGTTAATATGCATGTACTCCTTTATAACGTGTAGAGCCAAGCTAGGCATAGTGGCACACTCCTTTAATCCCAGCACTCGGTAGGCAGAGGCAGGCAGATATCCGAGTTTGAGACCAGCCTGGTCTACAGAGTGAATTCTAGGACATCCATGGCCACATAGAGAAAATGTCTTGAAAGAAACTATGCAGGGCCTTCAAAGCAGCTCACTGTGTAGAGCTGTGTACCTGAAAAGCCTGATGAACTGAGTTTCATGCCCAGAATGCACGGAAAAGCAGAAGGAAAGAACTGTACTCTAAGTTGTCCTCTGGTCTCCCCATGTGTTCTGTGGCATGTATCCCCCCCCACACACACACAAACTCACCACTGGGCATGACAGCTCACACCTGTAATACAGTATTTATAAGGTAGGGTTGCCACAAGCATGAGGCCAGCCTGGGCTTCAGAGTGAGACCCTGTGTCAGGTACAATAACTGAAGTATTCATTTATTATATGGTAATCATCCCATCTTTTATAATACCTCATTGCAAATATTCTTATTATCGTTTAGCCTAACTAGTTTTGTTTTCTAATGTCAAGGTGCCCCCTGCTGGACATCTGTTGTATTGATGCCCTTCAGCTTTCCGGTTGTAAAAACAATTCTGAATGCTCTGTGGTATTAGCCCAGGTGGAGTGACATGTTTACACAACAGGTGTGGGCCCATCAGCCATCAGCCCTAAATCAGGGAAGAAGACCCTTCACAAACTTAAAAAACCCAGCCCTAGAGAGAAACACCTCCACATCTGGATGAACAAACTCAGACACTAGTCATGGTAGTTCACAACTATAATCCAGGTACTAGGAAGTCTGAGACAGGAGGACTACAGTGAGTTTGAGGCTATCCCGAGCTTCATGGTAAATTAAAGACTACATAGCAAGGTCCTGTCTCAAAAATAACAAGCCACCATTACCACCAGTAAAATCAGAAGAGAACCGAAAAACAAGGTAAGGCCTAAAACAGCACGTGCTCTTCCTCTCCTACACTTTTGTGTTCTTCCCGGTAACTGACCACACACACACTTGTTAAGCCAGCCAATCAGCTCAGGGCCCTGCAGGGAGGCGTGGAAGAAAGGCCACCAAGTCTTTGTTTTAAGATGCCAGGCTTTTGTCTCAGGTCTGGAGGCTGAGGAAGAATCCAGCCATCTTGGAAGTTCAACACCTTCATTACCTAGATAGGGTCCCTCTCCCATCTGTCTTCCTACCAGGGAATTTGTCTAACTTCTAGTCCCTCATGTGGACGTCATGTCCATATGTAGAGACAGCTCCACATGCGTGGACACAAATGCCCTGGGACTGTTGAGTGGTCACTCTGGAGTACAGTGCAGGCTGAGGGTAGAGGATTGAAGAGAACCTGCCGTGTATTACTGGGGACATTTCTCCAGAACATGAATTGCTAGGGGAATGTATTCGTGGGTTACACGTATAATTAGAAAAAACTGAGTGGTGTTCATGCCCTCTTCATGTGAGGATGTTCTCTTCTGTTGAAAAAGGCTGAATTCTCAGTGTTACTTAGCTCTGTTTTCATATTCTTACTACTAGTACTTTACATGAAAGTATGGACCTTACCGAATATTTTAAGATAGTGTCCAAATACATAATTACCCCCCCAGCCTGAATAAGGGACCAGGGGCCCCGCAGTCTCCTTTAGACTGGCATTGAGGTGATTGTGTCCAGTTCTGAGGAGAAAGTCAAACTCTCTCCGTGTCCTGTGAAGCACTATAGGCCCCGAATGCCTCAGAAGACCCCAGTCCTTTGGTCGGTCCACTTAGTGCAGGATGCACAGGACTTAGCTGCTGTCTGCCCCAGGTACCTGGCAGTCGAGAGACCTGGAAATGGTGAGTAAGTATATTAAGGGCAGCATTTGAATTTAATTGTGCCCAGTTATATTTCTGCCTCCAAAAATTCCTTATGCTTATTCAGGCGTAGCTTAGCTTTCCTCTCGAGTCTAATGTCTCGAGTAGGCTGGGCCTGTTTTGTCTCCCCAGAACTGCTGTGCTTCAAGAAATGAGAAAAAGATTGTGCAATGGAAAATTATTTA